CAACTAAAATAATATAAAGAAGAAGAAAAAAACACCATTCATTTCATAAACTAACGTTAAAAATAATATATTTAATTATAATATAGCACATTATTTGCACGGCATCTGTCATGTGGACAAACTACTAGAATTTAATATTATGATAGTTTGCTTGGGATATGCTTTTATAAAATTAATAATAGTTAATATACTTTTTTAAAATTGTGGTCTTAAAAGTATAATAGACCTTGCAAACTCTGAAGCATACAGCAGCATGGCAATCAATTAGTGGCTTCTAGTTTGGGACTGAATCACGTGCCACATATAATGGTCTCCCAAGTATAGGTAGGCTAGGTAAGGATGTGTTCTTGGTGTCACAATTGACATAACTGACATAATTAATCAACTCATTTCTTTATCCAATGAATTAATCAATCAAGAGAACTAAAGTGACTTAAGCACATCCAATAGTGTTGTGCCACGTGGTCATAAACCCTAGTCACTTTTTCTTCTTGTGGTTATAATCATAGTCACTTTGTCAGCAATCGCAAGTGAATGGGTCTATATATGAGCAAGTTTCAGCAACACATCTTTGTTCTTCTAGTCAGGCACCTGTATAGATGCTATCGACAAGGTCTTGCAGCTCTTGACACCCTCTCCTAGTGTTGCTTAGTGGCCTCTCGGAGAATCTATAGTGTGTTGGCACTAGAAGCAAACTTGTGGTGAGTAGTCTTCTCATGACTAGGTACTGTCACCTATCTCTTAGTAATCTTGTAGGTGCCATCCACTAGTGTCTTGTAGAACCAATCAATTTGAGGCTTCTTTGCCTTTTTTATGCAATTGACTATGTAGTGTGTTAGCATTATTTAAGCAGTTTGTAAGAGCTTATAGAGGCTATTCCTTTTGATATAAATTGTTGGGTAAGTACTTCTATAATTTTTATAGTAAAATAAGTGTAACCTATGACAACAAATGTGTATGCCTATCTTATAATAGTTGAAGGTCCTTTCGACTATATTGTGATAAGTTTATAGCTTGATACCTAATTCAATAGTGGTCCTCATATTAGTGATTGACTATTTATTCATTGTTATATTTCTTGAAGGTGATTGTAAACTAGTTAGATGTATCTTAAAACCCTATGAATATTATAAGTTACTTGTTGGCGAATTCTTTTGAATATTCTTCTCTTATTGTCACAACAATAAAAAATTGATAATACTAAACCCTTTATTATTTCATCTTCTGCTAGTGGAGTTAATTGGCATTATATACTTAAATTGGACGAGCATAAAGATGGAATTCCTATATTTTATTAGCTAAGTGAACATAACTTAGTAAAAAGTACCCATCTCATTATGTCTTTTATTTGCTAATGATAAAATCTTGCATATTGAACTTTAATCCCTCAATACCACTACATAATACTTTATTGTGTCCACCAAGACACTTTTGCTATGTGTTAGTTATATTTTAATCTCATTGGCTATTTATGAAAAATGTTAATCTAATAGTAAGAATGTAGAGATTGTCTTGAATACTAAAGCACCATTCTATATTTATTAAGTTTTTATAATTATTTTGGAGATTAACTCCTAGGTGAAAGCCTAAAGCATACTTTTATAGGGGTGTAAGTCAAGAATGGGTGACCAACTTGATATATTGTTTAGCTTCTTGCTAGGCATTCAACTTGGTTATAAACTTAAGGTTTATACTATATTAGATGGTGGAGTACCCATATTTTATATTAGGTATATTGAAATAAACTAACTCTGTTTTGTGTGTTGGTTTTAGCATTAAAATGTTAAATGCTCTAGAATTGTTTCATTGTCATATTTATATCTTTTTATTTATTGAATGTATGCTTGGGAATTACTTTATGCTTTTTTTCTTTTGTTCTTTGGTTGTATGTTTAGGAATTGTTCTTGAAATTTAAGTTCTTCTCCATTACCCTTGATATGTGTGTCCAATGGTTAAATTCCACTATGTGGTTATTTTATTGTAAATTTATGGTTATAACACTTGAAACTTTTCTAATTTATATGTTTTCCTTCTTATCTTTCTCTAATTTTTTTGTTATTAGTAATGTTATAAATGAGTATATATCCAATGTTTAAGTGTTTGAAGTTTAAATTTCATTTTATTTTGTTACTATAGATGGAATTTATGTGCTTTTCAATAATACATCATATCATCAAATATTAGAGCATGTAAGGAATGATGCCACACTATGTTATTGAATAACTATCTTATAATAAAAACTTCAATTAAAGTTTATTTAATTTTTTAAAATTAATATATATTTATTTTTGAATATTGTGTAGCAACTCTTACTTGTTGTCAACAATGTTATTTTCACGTACATAATCATAATATAAATATTCTATTATGAAATCACCCAATTAAATTACCCTGATCATTTTCAATGAAGTAAAATTTCTACTGAAGTCCACACTTAAAAGAAAAAAAAAACAAAAATGAGAGACTCCATGTGGTTGAAAATAAAAATTAAGGCAATGATCCTTAGACACAAGACTCTTGATCATGGCAGAATGGGATCTTGGATCCTTCAAGCCTTGCTGGGTTGAAGGCAGTGATGCTGAAGTGCTACCACTAAGAAGGTGAGGGAGGATGTGGATAATGGTCCTATCGCATGAGTGACTGGAGGATGATGATCCAAAATTTGATACGACCGAGAGAAAGATGAAAAACGCAAATGCTTACTTGAAAATGAATGGTTATTGGTTTCGAGAAGTTCTTCTATGTTTCTTGTTTTGAATCACACCGTCAAGCAAAAGAGGTGGAGCTTGGATCACGATATGCTCATGGTTGACATTCCCAGTCTCGCAACTTCATCGTCGTTGGGAAAGATCCCCATGAGCCTGCCTTTGGAATAGATGTAAGCCACCATGTATCCGGCCTGGAGTCCTGTGAGTGCCGCCACCACCATCGCTGGACCTTTCACCCTGGCGCTCGCTCCTAAAACATCCAGGAAAGAAAAAAATCACATCCTAGAAAAGACACGAAAACTTAACAAATTTCTGCCCAAACAGAAATCCCAGACGCACATAGGCAGGAAAACGAGAAATCACGTCCACGAATCGAAGATTTCGCTCGAAGACCCACACAAGATCATCCCCCAGAGCTACATTTCTCAAGCACTTACCGGCGAGATAGCCGAATGGAACCGAGGCGGAGGTGTAGGTGAGAATGTGCATCATGTCGCGGAAGCTGAAATTGGAGACGACGGCGCTGACCTTTGGGAACTCGTAAATCACCGGATACTCGGGAGGCTCCACCCATCGCCGCGGCATCGTCCCTCTCTCTCTCGCGCGGATAAACCCTAGAAATAGATCTCCAACACTTTATGCCACCGTGGCTGCCAACGCGTAAGTATCCATTGACGTGTCTAGTTTAAGCGACGTGGCAAAATGACGTGTCACTTTTACAAGGAGCTTTCGACAAATGCTGCGGCATTGCATCAAGCGATTTCGCGAGCGAAGCTTTGTTTAGTAGACTTCGACGTTCCACTGCTCGCCTTTCTTGAGCTGCTTCTTATACTCCGCCCAGTCGATCCCTGTGGTCACGAATTTTGAGAGCTAGAAATGTATGAATGAAATCTCAATCGTTACCTTCTTTGGCTGCGAGGCTGGTCATGATATCGTCGATTCCTTTCTCCATTCCTTTCAAGCCGCACATATAGACGTAGGTGTTGTCCTTCTTGAGGAGGTCCCAAAGCTGCTCGGCATACTCGGCCATTCGCGTCTGGATGTACATCTTCTCGCCCTTGGCGTTTGTTTGCTCGCGGCTCACTGCGAAGTCGAGGTTGAAATTGTTTGGAAACTTTTCTTTCATCTTCTCGAATTCCTGAGAGATTGAAAAACATGGCAAGTTTATGCATAGATAGCACGAAAGCTCAAAGCCGCACCTCTTTGTACAGTAGTGAGCTGCTAGTTGGAACTCCCAAGAACAACCAGGCTAGCCCGTTAAACTGCCAAAGCCAACATTCTTGTTTACTTTTGAGAAGAGACCTTTTATCTAGAGAACTCACCTTATAGTCGTCGTGTTTCTCAAAAAACATCCGCCACAAAAAGCCTCTGAAGGGTGCGATACCAGTACCAGTACCAAGCTGATGAAAAGAAAAAAAGCAATAGGAGTGTCAGACGTGAAATCCTCGGAAATGGATTTGTTGTACCATGATAATTGTGGCGTTTGGATCGACTGGCATGAGCATCTCCTTCCCAACAGGTCCAGTTATGCTGACTTCATCTCCTGGCTTGAGATCGCCTGCAAAACTTGTTTGGTTGATGTGAACTGTCGTTGGAAGGAGAGCTTTGCTTACAGAGAAAGTTGGAACACACGCCCTTGACTTCCTCTCCCTTGTCATTCACGTACACGAGGCGCTTCACGCACAAAGACACCTGCGAGGAAGATAAGACTGAAGCTCGATGAGAACTCGTTGAATTTCCAAACAAAAAAAAAAGAGAGAGGAAACTTACAGTCTTGTAATCGCCGAAGTCCCCTGGAGCACTGCTAGCAATGGAGTAAAGTCGAAGTTTCTGAGGTTTTCCCTTGGCATCCAATCCGGGCGGGACAATTCCAATGGACTGGCCTTCTCGGTATGGAATTTTTCCTGGAGACAAGCCAGTGTTACAAGTGATCGAATCCACAAGGGACTTGATTTTTCACATGAAACGCACGTACCTTCGGTCGTAAAAACCATATGCCAAGTCTCTCCAGGAGCATCATCTCCCACAATTTTGGTGTTGAGGAGGCATCGCCCGACGTAAGGTTCCTTCGGCCTAAACAAGTTGGTGACAACTCCTTCCTCGTCTTTCTTCTTCACTTTCTCCACAGTTTCAGTGGACACCGCCGCTGCTCTCACGGAAAAGTTCCAAGTCGAAGGAGATGGCCTGTGGGTGTACGTTAGATCCGACGATGAGATCTTCCCTCCAAAGAAGGACTGCAAAGGAGGAAGGGCGTAAAATAAAAGAAAAGAATCGATCGACAGGGCAAGAATGAGACAATGCAGCTGAGCTTTCGATGCAGATGGCGTCACAAGTAGAAAACGACGGGATCGCACTGCAAGGCAAGCATTCAAATCGCGAGCGCGAGAATTCATGGCAAAATATTTCTTCACTCGTTCCAACAGGCACGGATTCTCAGCACCGCAATGCAGCGCAGCAGCAGTATCTATGGATCCTCGGGAGAAGCAAGCCAGAGCAATCTCTCTCTGGCAGGAATCGAATCAAATTTCCCTCACCTTGCTCGCGCCAGGAAATCCGACTCGATCGCTCCGCTCCGCCACCGGTGGCAACTGCCCTAGGGAATGTGATGAATGAATCGCCGCTACCGATGCCGCCGCCAGGGCCGCCATAGCTGCCGATCGAGGGAGAAGCTGTGCCTAGCCACACAAACGATAACTCTTTACAATCACACCGGATATTCACGAGAACATTCCGTTTGGACAAGGCGTGAATATTCCCGGCGCTCTGTGGCCAGAATGTAGCGCATCGCAGCCGTCCATCCCGTGGGCGATTATGCCCATCTTCCGGGCCGGAATACGGCGAGATCTACATCGCGGATCTTGTCAGTGGGACAGTGACGCGCAACTTGCTACGTAAGAGCTTTGGTCGTAGAGACGTTAAAAGTGATGAGAGCTATGTGGGCAGCAAAAACGAAGAACATTGTCTTAAACACTTCCATTTTCTTGGAACTTTTGGGGGAGAGATTTTTTTCCTATTCATCAATCAAGGCAAAAATGGGACAATGGATTACAAGGCGTTGGAGGAAGGACTCCACAGCTCTCCACAGCTCGAGCCTTCCACAAAAACGTCGATTAAATCCCTCGCAAAGAGACTTGATAGTAGTGAGTGAGTAGCAGCAGCAGCAATCAACCAAACGAAGAAACAACCAGAAGGAAACCAGAGAGAAAAACTAAGAAGCAGCGATGATGATCACGATCGACGAGTGCTGCCACTGCAAACGATGATCATTCATCCAAACGCCCGCGCCGGATCATCACTGGGGAGCATTGGGGCAGTCCTTGGCTATGTGGCCCGACTGCTGGCAATTGTAGCAGTTCCTTCCACCGCCGCCGCCGCCTCTTCCACCGCCACCGCCGCCGCCAGAGGGACAATCGCGCGAGATATGGCCGCTCTGGCCGCACTTGAAGCATCCATCGCCTCGACCGCCACCACTGCGGCCACCACCACCGCCAAATCTTCCTCCGCCGCCGCGGCCAGAGTCCGCGCCCCTTCCTCCGCCAAAGCCGCCGCCGCCGCCACCACCGACAAAGCCACCGCCACCGCCGCCGCCGCTGCCAAAGCCACCGGCGTCGCGCCTAGAGGCGCCCTGGACGAAGGAGCCCTCGGGGCCAGTGACATCGAGCGCCTTCGTGCGCCCATCTTCGCTGCGATCGATGGTGAACTCTACCGCCTCGCCGTCCTTGAGTGAGCGGAAGCCATCGGCGTGGATGGACGACTGGTGGACGAAGAGATCCTCGCCGCCATCGTCGGGAGTGATGAAGCCGAAGCCCTTGGCGCTGTTGAACCACTTGACCTTGCCACTCTTCTTCTCCGCCGCGTCCGACATCGCTTCCTCTCTCACGCTAGGAATCGAGCGCTCTTGGGAAAGAGAATGCGAACAGAGAAATCTACGCGCCTCGCGCGAGGTAAAACCCTAACACTCGCTAGAACCCTAACCCAGCCGCCAATCACAACCGACCTAATCTTCTGACCGGATTTTATCGCCGCCGTCAAAATCTACAGCCTGTCTTTGACGGCGAGCTGCCGCCGTCGGATAGAGTCAATGCCCTGGACAGTCAATGCAACGGTCGTGTTTGACTTCCAAGAACCCTAGAAATTGAAAGGGCATCTATAGATGCGATGGGTTCGAATTGCGCGCGCTGGCCGCCCCCGCCCGGCAAAGGGATCGATCAGGCGCATCTCACTCCTCGCGGAGCACAGGCCACCGATCGCGGCAGTCCGCGCGAAGCTAGCGGGCGTGATCGACTACCTCAGAGACGAGAGGAATCGCGTCGACTTCGACACGATCAAGAGCGCGCTCGTCCTGTGCAGCGATTGCAAATCCCTGCCCGATGGCCGCTTCGTGCACTCCCGGATCGTGGCGCTCAAGCTCGAGGGCGAGCGCAGCCTCTCCTCCTTCCTCATCTTCATGTACGCCAAGTGTGGCGATCCCGACGCGGCGCTGGCCGTCTTCGCCAAGATCAAGGAGCTCAACCAGGCCTGCTGGAATGGGCTTCTCACGGCTTTCATCCTCAATGGCCGATCCAAGCAGGCGATCCATCTCTTCCGCGTGATGCAGCTCGAGGGAACCGCGCCCAATCGATCCACCTTCGTCACGGTCTTCAATGCTTGCACGCGAATCGGCTCCATCGCCACCGCCAAGGGCATCTACGCCAGCATCGCCCACCTCGCAGCGGTGTGTAGCGCCGATCTCCACAACGCGCTGCTCAACACCTACTGCAAGCTTGGATCTCTCGCCGACGCCATCGCCCTCTTCGCCGAGATCGTGGAGAAGAACGTTGTGTCGTGGACACTGCTCGTCTCGGCATTTTCCCAGCACGGGCATTTGGATCTCGCGATCGTTTCGCTTCAGCGGATGCACCACGAAGGGATCCAGCCCAACCGGATCACCTTCCTGGCTGTTCTTGACGCTTGCATCGGCGAGAGGGAGCTCGTTATCGGTAGAACGATCCACCGGAGCTTGATCGACGCTGCGATGGACAAGGAGGTCTCGGTGGCGACGTGCCTTGTGGACATGTACACGAAGTGTGGGAGCCTGGACGAAGCTAGAGCGGTGTTTGATGGCATGGGCGCCATCGCCGACGTGATCACTTGGACTGCGATGATCTCGGCCTACGTCAAGAGCGATCAAGCACGAGAAGCGCTGCGGCTCTTCCGGATGATGCAACTGGATGGAGTGAAGCCCAACTGCGTCACCTGTTTGATCTGTCTCAACGCCTGCGCCAGCCTCACGGATCTCCGAGAGGGGCGATTCATCCACGAGAAGATCACGCAGAGTGGATTCCAGGAGATCAATCTCAACGTTGGAAACGCGCTCGTCGACATGTATGGCACCTGTGGGAACCTCGCGGTTGCCAAGTCGGTGTTTGATCAGATGCTCGAGAAGGACAAGGCGACTTGGAACTCGCTCATCGGATCTTTCTCGCAGTTTAGCGAGAGCTCGTCGACGCTGGAGCTCTTCTTCGCCATGCAGCTCGAGGGTGTCTACCCCGACGCGATAACTTTCGTGGGAGTTCTCTTCGCTTGCAACTCCGCCGGGATGCTGGCTGACGGACACCAGTTCTACGTCTCCATGCTCCTCGACTTTGGCATCGAGTGTCGGTTCCAGCACTGTGGATGCATCCTCGATCTGCTGGCCAGAGTTGGATGGCTCGACTTCGCCGAGGAGTACGTGAGGACGATGCCGTTTTATCCCGATGACAAGAAGTGGATGACGCTGCTCGGCTCGTGTAAGATCCATGGCGACATCCACCGCGCCGAGAGAGCGGCGCAAGGATCGATAGAGCTCACTCCGGGCGACTCGTCGCCATACGTTGTTCTGTGCAACGTTTACGTGAGCGAAGAACTTGACGAGATGGCTGCTGCTGCTGGCTGAGGAGCTACTATCAAAGTTTCGAAGTTCCTCCACCTCCATTCTTCGTCCTTCCTTGGTTCGATGATCAAGGAGGAAGGGAGTGGAGATTGGAGAGCAGCAAGTACGTTGCCGGATTGTACGAGTTCATCCTCTCGGCAACCCGAGCTGCTCGATCGCGATCGACGTAGCTACGACATGCCCCGAGGAGCGAAGTCCACGCGACTTCATTCGGCTCGTAAGGCATGTTGAAGATGAGATCCTCGGCAAGTTCCAGCTGACCCGTGCGTGCCAGGATATCAATCACGCACACGTAGAAATCCAGCGGGGGAGTGACACCAAAGTCAGGCTCTAGTGACCGCAGGAACTCGTACCACACCACCCCGGCATGGCTCCACGCCGAGAGAATGCCAACGTAAGTTATCCTGTCGGGCTCCACTCCCTCGACGAGCAGCAGCTGGAACAAATCCATGGCTTGATCGGTATGCCCGTTCTGGGCATAGACGCACAGCATCGTGTTCCACAGCGCCAAGCACTTGTCCGGGAAATCATCAAACATCTCCCTCGCAGCGTCAAGGTGGCCACACTTTCCATACATGTTGACGAGCGAAGTTTGCAGGAGAACATCACCCTCGAGCAGCCGTGAATCGTCCCTCACGCAGCTGTGAACCATCTTGCTATCGGCCAGAGACGCGAGAGTGGAGCAGGCATCAATGAGCACCATGAAAGTCACGGCATTGGGCTCGACTCCATCGGAATCCATCACCGGCAGGAGCTTGAGCGCCGTGATGCTGTAGCCATTCATGGCGTAGGCTGTGATCAAGGCGTTCCAGCAGATCACGTCCCTCTCCGGCGCTCGATCAAAGGTCTCCTTTGCTCGATCGATATAGCCGAGATGGGCATACCCGGAGATGATCCCCGTCCAGGACACCAAGTTCCTGGCGGGCATTCGATCGAAGCTCTTGCTTGCCTCGTCCAAAAGCCCGCAAGAGACATAGCCCTGGAGGAGAGAGTTCCAGGCCACGACCGTACGGCACGGCATTGCACGGAAGGTGGAGTGGGCGTCCCGTACGCTGCCGAGCTGGCAGTGCCCCGTCACCAGCACCGTCCAAGTGACCACGTCGCGAGCTGCGAGGCGCTCGAACGCTTCCAGCGCTCGGTCGAGGCGATCGTTGTGGACGAAGCTCGCGATGATCGAGTTCCAGGAGACGACGTTGCACTGGGGGAGATGGAGGAAGAGGGACTCGGCGATCTGGAGCTGGGCAGTGGCGGCGGCGATCATCGCGTTCCAGGAGGCGGTGCTGTGGCGGGGCATTCGATCGAAGACGGCGGCCGCGCTGTGGAGATCGCCGGCGTGGGAGTGCGCCTGGATCAAGACGTTCCAGGCGATGAGATTGCGCTGGGGCATGGCGTGGAACCGGCGCGTGGCCTCGCCCAGGAGCCCGGCCTGGGCGTAGATCGTGACGAGCGCCGACCAGGACACCAGGCCGCGGTGGGGCGATCGATCGAATACCACCTGCGCCGCGTCGATGTTGCCGGATTCGACGTGCGCCTGGAGCATCGAGCTCCAGGAGATTGAATCGTGCTGCGGCATTCGATCGAAGAAAAGCTCTGCCTGGAGGGAATCGCCGCGCTGGGCACTGGCCGAGACCATTGCGTTCCAAGAGACGATGTCACGGTGGGGCATTTTCTGGAAGAACTGGTGGAGATCGCGATTGTCCTCGCCGAAATCCGCGAGGCCCTGGATGATCACGTTGGAGGCAAAGACGTCCCACTGCGGCATCTTGGAGAATATCTCCGATGCCTGTAGCAGATGCCCATTCTCGGCAAATGCGGTGATCGCAGCGCCCCAAGAAACTGAATTGCGGCATGGAAGATCATCGAACAGAATCTTGGATTCCAGGGGATAGCCGCTCTTGGAGAATGCTGTGATCATCGAGTTCCAAGATATGGCGCTGTGCTGTGGCATCTTGGCAAACGCTTGCTCGGCGATTTCCAGTTGCCCATTGAGTGCCTGTTCTTGGAGCACCACATTCCAGGAAACGATCCCGCGCTCCGGCATGGAATCGAAGAAGCACATCACTCGATCGAGATCGCCATGGCCGCCCAGCGCCGTGAGCATCGTCGTCCAGGAGAAGAGATCCGGCTCGGGGATTTCATCGAACAGGAGCGCCGCGCCGTGCAAATCCCTGGAATCCACAACCGCCGCCAAGAGCGTGTTCCAGCTCGCGATGCTGCGCTGCGGGATGTGATCGAAGACCCGCCGCGCTCGATCGAGGGATGGATCGTTGCGAGCGAGAGAAGCCAGCGCCATATTCCAGGAGAAGACATTCTTGCCGATGGCGATCGCATCGAAGGCCTGGAGCGATTCATCCGGGCATCCGCAGCTGCCATACAATCGGACGAGCAGATTTCCAAACAGCGCATCTCGATCGAGACCGAGATCGGCGAGCCGCGCGTGGAGTTGTCGACCTTCGAGCAGCGTTCTTCCAAGAACACACTGACGCAGGAGAGCTAGCCACGTGTCATGATTTGGCATCGATAGATTGATCTCAATGCCACGTGGCAGATTTTAATCTTACATCCTGTAGTTAGGGTTCCTGGGCTGGACGGAGAACATGATCTCCGTGGCGATGGCGCCGCTGGCTGGCGCTGGAGCTGCCTTGACGGAGCAGCATTCTAGGAATGGGTTCCGGCTAGCGATTCATAGCTCCAGGGGTCGTGGCGGAGGCGCCAGGGCTTGCTGCTCGAAGCTGATCTTTCCAAGGGCCGGTCTCTGCTACACAAGCACTTGGAGCTCCTGGGTTCATCAAAATAAGCTGGATTGCTCGTTGCTGCTCTCAAGAGGTCGGTCGTCGCTGGAAATCATGAAATATCTGGCATTGATGTTCTTCGCGTCTTTGTAGCTAGATACAGATCCTCCAATCGGCCCTACAGAGGTGTTGTGAGATCTTCGTTGCTTGGTGTTGGAGCTCCGGAAGTTATCGTCATTGCCGTGGTGGCGCTTCTCGTGTTCGGACCGAAAGGCCTGGCTGAGGTATGAGTTCTTTCTTTTGGGGGATGTTTAGCCCGCTAAGCCGGGAGCAGTGTGTGTAGATTGCCCGGTCGCTGGGACAGTCATTGCGAGCATTTCAGCCAACTATACGGGAGCTCCAGGTTCGTGTGTGGTGAACGATAGAAAGAAATGTGAGCTCATTGATTTGTAAATTGCAGGAGGTTTCGAAAGAATTCAAGCAAACTTTGGAAAAGGAAATTGGTCTGGACGAGCTGAAGAAACCCGCGGAGTGTAAGTTCTTCTGAGACATCGTTTTCTAAGTTGCAATGCTACTCTTATTCAACAGCGCCTAAACGAGCACCACCACCGGTTAATGAGAACTTTGTGGTGGACGAGCTCACAGCCCAGCTCAATCTTATGCAACAAGAGAAGGAGAATGCAGACGCGCAAGAGACGAAGCCAGAAGAGGTGAATCCCAGCTCTGTGGTCGTTGCTTCATCGTCGGGAGATGATACGCCTCCCTCTCCAGCTCCTTCAGAGGTAGAGACGACTCCCTCTCCAGCTCCTTCAGAGGTCCTAGAGACGACGCCAGTGAAAGAGAAGGAGGCCGCTGTAAACAACGTTGCAAAGGACTGAGAGAAGTCTAGTTACACGGGTGGTAAGGATTCAATTCATTGGGGAATTCGGAATCATAAGCTAAGTGAGGATCGTTTCGTTTTGCAAAGGCTACAGATAAAATCATACAGCAAAGAGTAGCGACGACAGATCTCCCAGAACGAACAGCCAGAGGAAGGAAAAAATTACTTTTCCTTCTCTAGATGTTATCCTCCTGGTGGGTCAAGATGACAACGTCGCTGGTTGGCCTCGCAACGCAAGTGAGAACGAATCCACTCCCGATCTGATCGTCGTCCAAGAAGTTCTGGTCCGTTTGATCCACGCTGCCGCTGACGACCTTTCCTGCACACGAAGAGCAGGAGCCGGCACGGCAAGAGCTTGGCAAGTCGATGGATTGCTCCTCCGCCTCGTCGAGAATGTAGACGTCGTCGGGACACTGGAATGTTTTCTCGCTGCCATCCTCGAGCTTGAGCGTGACTTTGTACTTGGCCATGGCGACTACTCTAGCTCTGCTGCTGGACAGACCAAACTTCTTGGCGAGTGAGATCGGTGCCGGGGACAGGGATTTGGTGGAGATCTTGGTGGGCGATGCCGCGACGATTGGTAGACGCACAGCGGACGCTGCCGACGACGTTGCGGCGAGAATCGACGCCATTGGGATCGAAGGAAGCTCGTCGGTGCTACAAAGAGAGAAAGGAGAAAGGAGCCCGCGTTATAGAGGAGAGAAAGAGCGCACCTTGGTTCTTGAAGATAGAGAGTGACGGGCGGGGACGAGCGTGACGGGTATTGTTGTGGTGGAACTTGTGCTGCGGCCGTCGCCTGACGGGCCGGTGCGCGCCACACACGGGCTTCTGGCCAATAGCGTCGCTTCGCGGGCTTATCTTTCTGCCACGTGGACAGCGTTTCCACCGTTGAATTAAATGCCGCTCGAATGCTAATCGGGCTATGCTCACGAGCTTCCACGTTGCAGTTAGAAGATTCTCGAGTGGAATTAGGGCTTGCGAGCGTGACGAGCAGGATGCTCTTGCGCGGATCCTCCGAGATTGTGGGAATGCCAGGGATTTGGAGCGCGGGAGGAGAGCGCACAGCCAGATCTTGGGCATCGATCACTGCAAGCGCAACAAATTCCTCGCAAACCTCCTGGTCCAGATGTATGGGAAATGCGGCTGCGTGGAGGACGCAGCGGAGGTGTTTAGCGGCATCGATCAGCCCAACCAGTTCTCGTGGAACATCTACCTCCAGGCGTATGCCGAGAATGGGCATATTGATTCGGCAAGGAAGATCTTTCTCCAGATGGAAGAGCGCGATTCCGTGTCTTGGAATTGCCTCACAGCGGCATTTGTGCAAGGCTCCCATCTCGAGGACGCGAAATCTTGCTTTGATCGCACTCCGCAGTGGAATGTTTTCTCGTGGAATGCGATGATCACAGCAATGGCCTTTCGAGGCCATTTGGAGGAAGCGAAGAACTTGTTTGATCTAGCAGGGCACCGAGACGGTGTTACATGGAATGCCATTCTCACTGGATATGCCCGGCATGGGTACTGCGACCAAGCCAGTGATTTGTATAACAGAATGAATCACTGGGATTTAGTGTCGCAGACGACGATGATCCAGGCATATGCCCAAACCGGGGATTTGGAGAACGCGAGAAGTGTCTTTAATTCTATGCCCGAGAGAGACGTGGTGACCTGGAATTATATAATGCAAGCTTACACACAAAACGGCTGCTTGAATGAATCGAAGGAATCCTATGGTCGAATGGCGAAATGGAACATTGTGTCGCTGAACACTATGATCCTGGCGTATGCCCAACAGGGAGATGTCGATCTTTTGAAAGAAGAATTCGCAAAGCTTCCGGAGAAGAATGTGATTTCCTGGAACACCGCAATGGGAGCAATGGCGCAACACAACCGGTTGCATGAAGCGAAGAACTTGTTTGATTTTATGCCGGTGAGAAACGTAGTCTCATGGAACACCTGGCTTGCAGCAAATGCCCAATCTGGAGATTGCAGCGAGGCGGAAAGAACATTCGATCTTATGCCACACCACGACGTTGTGACGTGGACGACGCTCGTCCACGTCTACTGTCACCTAGGATATCTCGGGGAGGCAAGCGCCATGCTGGACAAGATGGCACGCACATGTGGCATCGTCGTCACGGCCGTGTGGAACTGCCTCGTTGCTGGATATGCCCAGGCCGGGCAGATCGAGCAAGCATGGGAGATCTTTGGGGGATTGATCCAGAGGAACATTGTCTCTTGGACATCAGTGATCCAGGGACTGGCCGAGAGTGGGCATTTGGATCGAGCAAAGAGAGTGATCGAGATGATGCCAGAGCATGACGTTGTCACTTGGACTGCCTTGTGCCAGGGGTATGCCCAGGCCGGGTATGTGGGCGATTCGAGGAAAATCTTCCAAGAGACGGTGTCGCGGAACATCGTTACTTGGACGACGATGATCCAGGCGCATGCGCAGAGCGAGAGCTTGGATGATGCGAGAGAAGTTTTTGATCGAATGCCCGAGCACAATGCCGTGTGCTGGACTGCGATGATCGTCGCGCTCGCCCAGAATGGCTGCCGCGAGACTGCGCGATCGATGTTCTTGGAGAAGATGGAGGCGCTCGACGTGGTGTCTTGGAATGCGATGATCGCAGTGAGCGACAGTGTGGCGGGAGCGAAGGAGATGTTCGAGAGAATGCCGGCGAGGGATGCTGGGAGCTGGAACACGGTGACAGCGGCATTGGTTTCCAATGGCGAGCTGGAGCACTCACTGATCGCGTTTGAGCGCGCTCCAAATCACAATCTCGCGTCTTGGGTGTCGCGGATCCATGCGCTCGCACAGCTGCTGCGAATCGACGAGGTGAAATCGGCGTTTGATCGCATCCCGGAGAGGAATCCCGCTGCCTGGAATGCTCTTATCGATGCATTTGCTCTCAATGGCTTCTTGCGGGATGCGAGAAGGAGCTTCGATCTCATGCCTTGCCGCGACACGATATCCTGGAACGCAATCCTGGGCGCTTTCTCTCATCACGGTTTGGTGGATCGAGCGCTCGAGATCTTCGATTCCATGCCGCTGCGGGACGTAGTCTCCTGGAACTCCATCGTTGGCGGCTATGCCCACAATGGGCATTGCGGATTGGCGATGGAGTTCTTCCGTGCGATGGTCCAGGAGGGCTTCCAGCCCACCGAGCTCGCGTTTGGGAGCATCTTGAGCGGATGCAACCACGCCGGTCTCGTCCGCGATGGATGCCAGCATTTCGTGGCGATGATCGCCGACTACCAGGTCGCGCCACTGCGAGAGCATTTTTGCTGCTTGATCGATCTCCTCGGCCGCGCCGGGGAGCTGGAAGAGGCCGAGGGGATGATCGCCCAGATGCCACACGCCCCCGATTCCATCGCCTGGGGAACGCTCCTGGCGGCGTGCCATATCCACCCCGATCTCGATCGCGCTGCGCGTGCGGCCGATAGAATGTTTGAGCTCGATCCTCCCGGCGAGGCTGGGCCCTTCGTGCTCCTCGCGAACATTGGAAGATCGTTTGAATGACGAGTTAAATTTAATTGGTGCTTGGCTAGGGTTAGGGCTTCTTCCAGCGATGGCAGGGCAGGGCAGCGCGCTTGTGCCGCTGGGCTAGGCGACGCCATCGGCAGCTCTTGACGATTGGAGCGGACTAGGGTGGGGCGGCATGGCTCAGCAGCAGCAGCAGCAGCAATCGTCTCGGTTGAATCGGCTGCTGACGCTCCTCGACAGTACGTGAATTCGTCCCTCTTTCGTACTTTTTTGCCGATCTCTTTGTGTTTGTGAATGGAATTTCGCAGCTGGATCCACTTCCGCGACGAGGCTCACTGCTGCGAAGCAGATTGGCGAGATTGCGAAGCAGCACCCCACTGAATTGCAAGCTCTCCTGAAAAGAGTGTGTTTGTTTCTGCCTTTTCCATTCATGCGCGCTACAAACTTGGCTTTGTGACAGGTTGGGCACTTCCTCCGAAGCAAGAGCTGGGAAACGCGTGTGGCCGCCGCTCATGCAATTGGATCCATCGCCGAGAATGTGAGTCATGTAACTGTGAGGGAGCTTGTCGCTAGAGCACAGAAGAACATCCAAAGGATGGGGTGCACCACTTTGAATCTAGAGAATGTCTTGACGGCTAGCGGGGAGAAGCAGCCATCGCCAGGCCTGGCGTTCAGTAGGTACATTTCTCCGACATCGTGTTTGCGCTGCGCCTAACGGTGGTTTTATCGCCAGGTTTGATGTTCACAAGGTTTTGGAGTCGGGCCGGCTATTGCTTGCATCCGGTGGTCAGGTTGGCATCTTTAGAAGTTTTTGTGTTGTTTAGTCCTTTGGCCGACGCTTTGTACATACTAGGAATTTGATGTTTCGCTCGACAGTACAAAGACTTCAGTGGAAAGGCTGGCACACCAAAAGCAAAATCTGCGTCGCCGACTGGGTAAAAGCTTTACTTGTATCGTCGGAGAAAGGCCGACTTAATATGTCTTTTCTTTTGGTCAGGACTAGACGAGTTCGTCGATGTTAATGACATGATTCGTGACGAGGATCTCATGATGCAGAGAACACCAGTTGGCGATAGTAGCATTCACAATCATGTGTACCAGCGGCAGGAAGTTCAACAATTGGTTGCCAACATGGTTCCGGGTGTCCTTCCAAGGACACTAAGTGCGAGAGAGAAGAACATGCTTAAACGCAAAGCTAAATTTTTTGTCAAAGATGGATCGAAGGAGGAAGCGGAGCTAGAAGAGCCTAGTAACAAGCGTCCTAAATCTGTTGTGAATGAGCAATCACAACAACAAACTGATAAGGTATTCTATAGCGCTTCGTTGTTTGTAGCTAACCGGTGCTTTCGCAGCTCGTGTTAGATTCTGTGCTAGAGGAGGACGGTCAGGACATTTTTGCCGACGGTCGCTGGCCATTTTCCCGCTTTGTGGAGGCTCTCATGCATGATATTTTCGATCCTGGTAATTTGTGTGTCTGCAATTTTGGGAGCGTCAATGACCATTTTGGTTTTTGTCATACGCAGTCTGGGAAATTCGCCATGGTAGTATCATGGCGCTTAGAGAAATATTAAGCTCACAAGCAGCTTCTGCTGCCGTAACTGCTCCTGAAACATCTTCAACATTTACAGCAAACAGAGTGGAGACCAAAGGCCAGGAGGCAGTTGTTGATACTAAATTGGAGCCTTCTCAGGAAACAAAGGTGGAGCAAAAGAACGAACTAGTTTCCGACGTTAAAAAGGAGGAACAGAAGGGCGGAGACAAGATGGAGCGTGATGCAGAGAAGAT